CCCCCCCCCCAAATGGATCATGCCCCTTGCTGATTTTGCCTTCAGCAGGTGTCTGCTGAAGGGCCTGACCACCTCCCCCGGAGCTGGGAGATGAGCTGACTAATAGTTGCAACACATCACTGCAAACTAAACTACATCAGGATGCAAACTCATCTAAAACTCCCAAAACTGGCGCACACGTAATGTGCAACACCACACAAGGTGCCACGCAAAGTGATATTTCTGTTGTGTACATTGTGACATTGTCACTTGTACAAGAGCCCTACTAGCACATTCAGTTCAGATGCAAGTAGCATTAAAGGAGACTGGTAGCAATGGTACTGCAAGGATCTGCTCTCTGCCATGGTAACCCTAGATTGGGGTGGGCAAAATACTGTCTGCGGGCTGGATCCAGCCCACCAATTGATTGGATCTGGCCCATGAGCAGGTACCTGTCAATTGATTACATTAGGCCCATGGCTGCCCCCATGGCTGTTCCACATGGGGCCAAGTCTTGCCTGCTCCCACCCAGGGCAGCCCACACCATGCTCCTTCCCATGGGCGACCCCAGTTAGCATGCACACTTCCCAGCAGGGCTGCTCCCACACCTACACTGCACTGTCTGGGTGAGCTCTGCTGCATGCGCCCCTACTCCTTCTATCCTCCCTGCCTCCCCATCCCCTGGCCAGCTCCTCCCTCCACACGTGCCCGATATACAAGAGTAAGACTTTATTTTGAGCTATTAATGCAAATCGCCTCTAATGTACACTACTAAAAAATACAAAACAAACAACCCCAAACAAACCATAAATTAGAAAAAGAATTATTTTTTAAATTATATATGTTATTATAGATGTTTGATTTTTACTATACATTTGTTTTTCTATAATTTCTTAAAATGATATCTTCTGAAAGATTGTGTGTGGTCCTTGACAGCTCATCAAAACTTAAGTGGCTCTCCAGCCAAAATAATTGCCCACCCCTGCTCTAGACACTCTGGCCTTAGTGCTGAGAGGCAACTGACTTCAATTTAAGACATAATCAGAGTCCCAGTATATGCATCCTTACAGCCTCAAAGCAGCCAATTGGAATGGTCCAACAAATTCATTTCAAATGCACCTCACTTCTTTCTATGATCCTTTTAGATGACATGCACAGCACACATTTGTTAGGAACATGAACTTCTTGTCAGGGTGACAAGAGACATCCTATATACACATAATTTACTAGAACTGCCCACTCACAAGAGGGTTAATACCCAAAACTGGGAAACTTATGATGGGCTTTAATCCATCCCAGGGTCAGCAGAAAGGTCCAAATGAAAATAAGCAAAAACTTCAAAATAAAACTGCTGAAAATATCTGCCAACAAGCAATTACTAAATGTGTACGCAACCAATTAGTTAGGGAAAAATGCATGTTTAGATGCAGACACTGAGGAAATCAGCTTCATTGCTCTGAGCAGGGAGAAGTAATCAAATGGTGTTTAGGTTCACTGTACCCTCTGCACCCTCACAGGAGAACAAAGACACTATGTATATCCGTGGTTCTCAACCTTTCTAGACACAAAGCACCCCTCATTAGATTCAAGGCATCCCTTATTAAACTTGAGGCATCCCTTTGAAAATGGCAGCTTAGTTTTCTCTCATTTTTTGCTTACAGAAAAATAAGAGAGCATTCCTTCTGTTGCAAAGAACTAAAGTAAGATCACAACAGGTTAGAATGTTTTTAACACTGTGAATTCCCATTTGACATTTTTGGGTTTATCTTGTGCACCATGTTTGCATACCAAATAGTGGTAACAATGTGTGGCACCCTTGAAAGACTCTCCAGGCACTCTGGAGTGCTGCAGCAACCAAACTGAGAAACACTGGTTAACAACAACATGCTTCTTTTCTCCCACCCTCCAGTGGCCCCTGCTGACCAAAAGCAGACTCCTATTTCAAATCCATGGGAACACACGCACTAAAAACAGAATTAATATGGTTGAGCATTCAAAGTCTGTTTACTGAACTCAACAACAGATATATATATAATATATTCATAAATACCAGTCAGCTACAGACTAAACACAGTTGGGACAGTCTAAAATAAAGGACTCTAAAATCTAACCATGTTAAGACTGAGGATGTTGTTTGACAAGTCACCTTAGAACAATTTTTCATAGCATGATTGGTGCCTATAATATAAGCTGGGATAGTTTCTTGTGTTTGCACATGCAAACACACCTTAAAGAGATGAAGAATTGTATACCTTCATCTCACCTAACAAATCTGAGCACTTACCCCTGGTCAGATGTCCCTTTTAGCAGGCTAGGAATTTCCAGCACCAAAGAAGTAACTTTTGGCATGGGAAAGGTTTGAGACCTCTGTCTTTCTGACTAGGACCATTTTTTGAACTAGAAATAACTCTCCTTCAAGCTTAACATTTTCCTACAGTACTACTAGCCCAACAGAAGAGTCCAAGATATTTAAGTGAACTGCGCTCTTGTATAACAGCTTAAAGCACCACTAAGCTATTCAACCAAATCCTGAATCCCAAGTCTTGAATCCTTATTATTTATTACAATTTGTAAAGTAATGTATGCAAGAAGGTGAAGTTCTGCACATCATATATACTGTTCCTCAAGACAGGAATAGTAGGTAGAGTTGCACTGATACATTGGTCTGATATTGGATCGGTATCGATATAAAGAAAATTGTCTATATCAGAAATCGGCCTGATGTGGCCAATAACCTGGCTGATAAATGGCCCATGCATTCATGCAGCCGCAGCACAGCACATAGGCAGTGAGGAGCACAGTCTGGCAGCTAGGAGAGCTACGTGCAGCTGGTGAATCTGTTGTGGTGGAAGGGGAGGGGGAATGGAGAGATGGGGGCACAGATCAGGGCCCCTGCAGTGAGAAGGGAGTGGGGCAGGGGCTGGAACAGGTGCTATCCAGGCCGGGAGGGGGAGGAGCCATGGCTTGTCTGGGGCCACGGGAAGGGGAGGGGGGCTCCCACCACTGTGTACAGCTTGTTTGGCGACTCGTCTGCTCATCCGGTGGTTCCCGCCACTTGTCCGGGTGGGTATGGGGGGAGGCATGTGCCCCTGAATCTGCACGGCACAGGCAGCGGTGGCGCTGGGAGGGGGGCTATGGGGCAGCTACAGTGATTTTTGGGGTGGCTGCAGCCCTCCCCTGTAGCCCCCTTTCAGTGCTGTCCCGGTACCAGTCCCAACCCACAGCTGCAGCCCGCCCTGCCTGCGCCCCATACAGATCTGGGGCACACCCCCTGCCATGCCCTCCAGGGGTGCGTGCAGCAGCAAGAGCTGCCCCCCCTGGAGGAGCTGTGGCTCCATCCTATGCCCCAGCCCCACCCCCTCCCTCATCACAGGGAGTGTTGATTTACCTGTCACACCCCTTCCCTCCCCCCTCCCCTTTCACCACAACAGACTTACCAGCTGCATGCAGCTGTATCGGAAATCAGATTGGTATTAGCTGATATGCCTCCTTAAAAATAGGCTATCGGTATCAGCCCCAAAAATCTCGTTAGTAAGTTGGCAGTTCTCAACATTTTTTAGATTCAAAACATCCCTTGTACAGTATCAGTTCTTTGCTTTCCATTTTTTTTTTTATTACAGAACAATTCTTCCGTTGCAAAGCCCATAGAAAGATCATAACACATCACAATGTTTTTGGACTCCTATTTGAAATCTCTATGTTTAACTTGTGAATCGTGTAAGTGTTTGCACACCTAAGAATGCTAATTTTGCATGGATTCTCTGGCTGAGAATCACTAATGAGCCTTGGAACAAAATTATTTCCACCCCCACTTCCCTGCTTTTCTCCTGCCCGTGACTTACCGTCATATACTCGGCTTCTTCAGGGTGCTCAAAAGCAACAAATTCATCCAGATTCAGACCAGGAATGTCATCTTTATCAGCTTTTTCAAAACGCTTCTTCTCCTTTAAATGAAGCTTACACATTTTAAGATAGATTAGACCACTTAGTGAAGTAGGAAAAACAACATCTAAAGTAGTAGGTTTACAGAATTGCAATGCATATTGTTAGTGCATGTTGCATGGCAGGCAAGGTTCTTTGAGTAAATATGATATCTTTTATTATTTTTTTAAGGGAAAGAAGTTCTTAGCAAGCTTTCAGGCACAATCACCCTTCTTCAGGCATAGGGAGTTTCTGCTGGTCTAGAGTCTCAGAGACTCCACTTCCTTGGAGTCTCAGACCAGAGACCCGCTATGCCTGAAGAAGGGCGATTGCACCTGAAAGCTTGCTAAAAACTTTTTTCCAAATACTCAGTTGGTCTAATAAAAGATATCACATTTACTTAAAGAAACTTGCCTGCCTATGTCTTTAGACCAATACGGCTACAACCAAAAACCAAGCATACATACAATATAACCGTTATTATGACTATATTGCCACTGTTTACCCAGTAAAAAGAAGTGCTTTTGATTTTAATTTATTTATGTAGCTTCTTCTTATTGTTCGAACTATAGCAAAGCACATATAATCTAAATTTCAGGAAAAAATTCTTATCTGTAAGAACTGTAAAATAATGGAATAAATTGCTAAGGAACATTATGGCATTTCCTCTAGGGAAGGTTTACAAGAAGAGGTTACACAAATATTTATCTACGATGGTTTAAGAACAGCAAATACCATGGGGTCTCTTTCTCACCCTAATATTACTAAAAACATATTAAAAAGTAATTTTTTGAGATTCCAAGGGCACTTTTGAAACATGTTCCTAGCCCAAGTCTCAATGGCAAGGAAACCATGACAAGAAAAAGCAGGAAATTAATTCTTCACACACATTCCTCTAAAAAAAAGCATCAGTCCCATTTCAGATAATAAATCCAAGGGCATGGTCAGCTACATGAACAAAACCCCAAACTATCTGGCATGGTACAATTATTACTGGAGTAGCCACTGCAATATTAAAAGTTTCCCTTTGAAGATTTTGTACCCAATGGGTTCAAGTCTCATTTACAGGAAGGCTCTTACATCACCTGGCAGTGTGTGCAGATATAGTGGGCCTAAATCTTTTCTTAGGGTGTTAGAGAAAGCATATTACACTTTTAAGGTAAGCTAAGATTTAGGACCATTATCTGTACACACTGTAGAGGATTTGCTCCGTTCAGGCTACTCCAAGTGAGAATATTGGTGTATGTTTGTACAGGATAGGCAGTAAATTTAGTGTGTGAAAGTTGTCTGCATTTCCTGATTCTGCATTTTATAATTTATAACCCAATGTAATTTTATTTTTTCTTTTATCTCTAGGACAGTTCCACAAGCCAATTCTTTTCTTTTTAATGAAAGAAAGGTCCAGAATTTTTTTTAATAAAAGCTAGTAAATGTGGTTCATGATCCTGTGATAAAAGTTGTCTTTATTCAGGGGCAATGACTAATAGCATATGTAACCCTGCATCAGCAAGCCACTAGAGATAGTGTAAATATAAGTTGCGCTTACTAAAAAGCTAGATATTAATTCATCACCTACATCCTTCAAATCACTAGCACTTCTCTATAATAAGGCTAATTGAGAGCCATAAAGTATGCAATTCATGGCAAGCTAAGAGCGAAATATAGAACAGAAATTTTAAACACCTTATATAATTACTCAAATATAATTATTTAAAGAATGGAAAGTTGATCTTGGGTAAGGATTAAGTACTGAAACAATTCATAGCACTTATTACATGAAGCAGTAGACTTAAAAACAGACCTAAACTATTTGAGGGGAAAAAATTTTTTTTTTGTTGTTTTTTATGGAGAATAGAGAACAAGACTGCCACCTTCTGATGGTTTTAAATTAAAAAAACAATTACTTTTGGATTTGGCTTTAAAAATTGATCCCATAGCAAAGATATGCACTATATACACCATGTGGCCTGCCATAATTGTTTATTAAACCACTAATAAATGAAGAGGGATTTGAAAAGCAAAACAGCAAGTCCTGTATCCTTGCTGTGCAGTGATGCATTAACATGTGCATGCACCTGCATGTGTGAGTCAAGTGTCCTGTTTGCAAACACGCTTACATCAGAAGTAGATCCACTCTGGGACCTACTCTTAATTGGAAAGTGTACATTGCACCTGAGAATTAGTCTCACAAATGTTGTTGCAGGATATTTACCACATTTACTCAAATACAAGACAATGCCAAATAATTAGATTCTATACATGGAAAAAATTATAATTTTTAAAAATAATTTTCCAGGTATAGAACCTAATTGTTGGGGTTTTGCTACTGCTACAGCAGGGAAAATAAGTTGGGGGGCGGTGGGGAGGGGGAGGTGCCAGGTAGTCCTCCTGCCCTTCCTTCCCCTGCCAAACTTCTTTCCCCTGCAGCCCCTTGCCTCTTCCTCCCCCTCCTTACTGTCAGACCCTGTTTTTCCTAAACACATGGCAGTGAGGGGGAAATTTGAAAGAGGTATCCAGGTTGTAGTCGTATTGGTCTAGAGGAAAAGGCAATCAGGATTCGTAGTAGAGATGATATCTTTTATTAGATCAACAAGATTTTTGCAAAAAAAATTAACGCAATTAAATAATTTTTTTTGCAAAAATCTTGTTGGTCTAATAAAAGATATCTTTACTACAAGTCCTGATTGCCTTTTGACATTGAAAAAGACCAAGATACCAAAACATACCTGTAGTCATTTGCTTAGATGCAAATGACTACAGGTACCCACAGACTTTTATAGAGCACAGACCTTTTTTTTTTAATTTCATATCTTGGGCCAAATCAGCTAAATCTGTTCTGAATTCTATCGTTCAAGTCTGATTGGCACTACCACCAGCAAATATCCTACCTCCCAGACTCTTCAGCCTGGGGCTTCAGATACTCCCAAATCCATGGGAGGCATTCTACATGCAAGCCCCAAGCCTGAAGCCTTGGGGTTCAGATGCCCCCTAGTCTTGCATGCCCCTAGCCAAAAGGCCATAGGAGCAAGCCAGAGGAAAAAGCCAGAGAGTAGTCCCCACATCACCATAAATTGTGTAACTGAGATCCTCCCATTGGAAGGTTATAGCAGATTCTTGTAGGGGTGCCTGCCTGCAGCACAATGGACAGGTCTCAACTACAGAGTCATTCAAGACTGGGAGGAAGAGGATCACCCCTGCCAGGTACATTAAACCCATCTGGACCAACACCATCATGTCATCTCCCCTGCCAGGTAAGACTATGATTTTTTTTTTGCAACAATATTTATTTTTAGATAGACAGATGGATATAACTATAAAGGCTTGTGATTTATCATGTAGTTTACTGGGCTGAGCCTCAGTACACTCAACAGCATTTCAAGCCATAGTGACACCACTGCTCAGCACGCACACACTCTCAAGATACTTCCCACAAAACATCCATGTGCTAATTAGTCCCTTCCCTCCCCTCCAACTTGTGACTGGAACTGGGTGTTCTTGTCACGAGACCTGGGATCCTCCAAAAATTGATATGCAGATGAGGTGCAGGGCAACCTGGTTCAGCTTCACCTTGTGGAGGGTGGGACCTCACTTATCATATGCAACACACTGAGAGAGGGGACAACAAAAGGATTCTGGGTGAACTGTTTGGAGCCCCATTTGGCGATGTTTGCCAGACACTGAAGGCTGGTGAAGAAAGAGGAATCATTGGAAATGGGAAAGAAAGGCACAGCTCAGCTGTGGGAATGAAAAGAAAGCAGAATTGTATTCAATGCAGTGGCTCACCATAACTGGAAAGCTGGCACTGAGGGGAACCATGTACAACTGGCACTATCACATATACCTTATTTAGATGGGCTGGACTAGCCTGTCATTGTGGTGGGTTGTGTCACGACCCAGTGATTTTTTGTGCCTCGGCACTATGGAATTTCCTGGCCACATGAGAGCTCCTTTGCACAGCAGAGTGTTCTGCTGCAATTAAGAGCCTGCGTGCAGGAGAGTTCCCGCCAATTTGCAGTTTCCTTTGCAGGATGCATTTCTTCTTTGCAGCACAGAGATGCACGGTGCAAAGAGTTCCCGCTATTCGGATGCAAATTTGTGCCCCGTTATTGGCCAGTGCTAAATAATTCACATGTGGCGGCTAGTAATTGGCTCGCTGGCCGTTTAAAATTCCGCGCGACTTCCGCCCAAGTCGAAGAGCTTTGAGCACGCTGCAGAGTGTCTCTGAAGTTATCTGACTTGCGGCTGCCGATCGATAGACT